AAGGATTAGTATAATCTAATGGCTTTTTTAAATTGCCTGAACAGTTAAAACCAATTAATTCTACCTGCCATTCTCTGAGAAACACCAGACACTCCTAAAGAAACACACATTTCTTGATTCTACCTCAATTGTCTGAGCTGGAAAGCAACCACAGAAGACTAAATACATTCACACTGCTTCTAGCAAATGTACTCAGTGTAATATCTCCAATAACACACAGCAGCAGAAGTTGACTAAGCAAAATACATATGGCCATGCAGCATTCAAGCAGAAAGAGATTATTTTACACAAGTTGTGCATTGCAGGCGTTTTAGAAATGAACTCTAAACAATAACAAATTAGTGTTACATCAACATATGTAGATCCTTTTTATACTCAGCCTGCAGCTTTAGAGTTTAATTCTATCAAACTTTGTCCATAAAAATAACAATCTTTAACTTGAAAAAAAAAAAAAGAAAAGCAGAAGACTAAATTCTGTTGAAACTACTACCACTGTAAGGTCATTTAACCATATTTCAAATACTAAAAATATGGAAAACTTCAGAATGTGATTAAACACACCCTGTTCTTGTCAAGACTTAGCTGTTCCATGTGTACTCAACAGTGTTTGGCACAGAAATTGTGACTATGGATAAATTATTCTGTCTCCTCCAACACAAAAACCAAGAGCAGTGAATGCAGCCAGGAGGTTAAAAATAAAGATGTGGGTGTTTTTTCAGGGAAGTGTGTGGTTAAGCTGTGGAACAGCTCGCTGCAGCATGTTGTGAAAACTTTACAAAGGTGAAAAGAGAGTGAAATCTATGATGAATTATTGTATACAGAGACATATTTGACTGAAAATATCTCTGATTCTCAAATTGTTAGAGGATGGAAAGGTATCCCAGGGAAGTTTCAGTCCAGGCCTGTTCTGCTCACGTATTCCTCCCTAGACACTCACTGCCAGAGACAGAAGTCATGAGTCTCAGATATAAGCCAACACCTCCAGCTGTATATGTTGTGATTTAAAAAACCTGTTGAGCTTGGGATTGCACACACTGCTTCTCTATGCTTTTTAGTCATTTGAGTGATTTTTATTCTGTCTATTGTAAAATAATGTCTCAGAGTGAAGTACCTATTTTATACACAATTTTCCTTATCTACTGTCAGTTTTATTTCCTTTTCTCTTTCTAAATTTAAAAATAAAAAGGTGACTTGGAGATATTACTAGATTAATCATTTTATGACCATTTGTGCCACATCAGTTGGGGGTGCACAGGTTGGCCAAAATGCGAATCCACAGTTTGGAAGCTTGGAATGCTGTCCCAATTGGAAAGCCACAGCATGTTGGAGAGCCAGGTGATGTGGAATGGTGGAGGAAAAAGTAGCTGTCACAGATCAGAAAGTGAGCAGTGCAGGGCTGCTTCAATAACAGCCCTGAAGTGGATATGAGGCTTGATCTCCTTTGCATTCACTGCTTCTTCAAGACAAATGAATCTGTGGACTGTAAACTTCTCAGCAGTTGACAGGAGTAATTATTTTCCCCATCTTGGCAATTCAAACGATGGTCTTGGATTTTCAGTGTTGAGAAAGTTCATTTTCCCAGGCATATTTACCACCTTCAGCATTTTTATATATGCTCATGTGTCAACTATTTGAAATACATCCATGGAAAAACAGCTCAGTGCTTTGTCCTTGACTGTAGCCTGTAGTTTTGTTACTCAGTTGTCCCAGAGATAAACCTGTCCAGACACAGGTGTTCCATCAAACCATTCACTGAGGCATGGATGAATAATGGTGAGAGTTTTAAATGTTCCATATTTGCCTTGTTCTCTTCCACCTCAGAACATTTTTCTGTGTTTTCCTTTATAGACCAGTGTTGAAAGTTTCACAAGTTCTGCACATGGTTAGCGTGTGTCTTGCTTTGACACCCACCTTCAGGGATTTTCCAGCAGTACTGATCCACTTACTCTGCCTCTGATTGTCTTTAATCCATTTCCCAGGCAGAATACTGATATTTATTATTTTCTCTAATTACAACAACAAGATCTGACTCATAGCTCCCTGGAGCTCACAGAGAGAAGCTGGTCATGTCTAGTTAGAAACCGCTCTGAACCTTTCTATACCATCAGTCTTAACTACCAGGATTTGCAAATTATTGTATTTTCACTATTTATGAACTTCAGCAGCAATAAAGTTCAGACTGAACTGACAGAAACTGGATAACACTGTGAGAAAAATAAAGAATGTCACCGTATCCTGTGACAGCCACCACATTCTGTGCCACTTCTATGATTCTAAATGCAAAATGAGAGCCTCATTTGCAGCTCCTGCCAATAAAGAAGTGTTACAATAGGAATTTTATGAGCCACTCATAAAAAGATTGCCATTCAGTAAGAACTGGATGTGCCAGAGACGTTCCAGATAGGTATTATCAAACACTGAAAGAGGATATAAAAAGTAGGATGATTATTTCCTTTTGCTAAAAATATATCAAGCCACAGCAACAGATTCAGAACCACTGGCATACTCACCACAGTTTGCTTCATCTGACCCATCTGCACAATCTGGGTCCTCATCACACACCCACAGCTTGGAAATGCAGTGCTTTGTTGTTTTACATTGGAAGTGGTCTGGAGAACAACTGTTTTCAGCTTTAAATAAAAGAGTTCCAGATCAAAATTAGAAATGTATGCTAATATTCAAAATATGTGTTAAAAAAAAAAATATTAAGGATTCAAGAATCAGAAATTGGTTATCTCTAGCAAAATTTATATAATATCTGTAAGAAAAAAGCATTCAGGTTTATACTCTTAATGGCTTTGTAATTTTCTTATATATAATTTTATATAAACATTAAAGTATAACAATATAATGAAGTGTCTATTGTGATTTTTTTCAACAGCAAAAGACTGATAGAATTGAACCACTTTAACAAAAATCAGACGAGTTTTCTTCCCTAACTTTCCAAAATGCCAGTTACAAATTCTGAGAGTCAGTTTATAGGAATAAGGCACCTCTGGATGCTTTGATTAAAAACAAAACCAGAATTTTACATGATTTCTGTGAAATTCTGTTCTCAAATGGGGTAAATGTTGAGAAAATTTTGACAAGTATTTCACTTTATCAGTTTAGAACAATTTTTTGAATGAATCCTACAGCAAGAAAAAGATGCAAAGATGCAGCTGAGCTTTCAGCCCATTCTTTAAGGGTGCTCTAAGTTAAAGCTTAACTCCATTAACCTTAGAACAGCCATTTAATAACAAAACAGATCCTCAGTGCACCCATGTGATTCTAGATGTTCTTTAGAGTTGAGTATATGTACTACAAATAATTTTAGACTGAACTGGTCATAGGGAGAAAACAGAAAACCTTTGATAAGGTTATACTACATGAATGTCTGTCCCACATTTACCTAAGGAATTCTATAGTAGAAAGCTTTTAAAAACTTTCTTACCCCTGCTGAAAAGCAGTTTGCTCCCTGATACTACCATTGTTTCTTAGGTTTGGCAAGATAAAAAAATTTAGGTTTGCTAAAAGTTGATTTCTTATTATTTCTTTCAGTGTCACATTTCCATGGACTTGTGTATGTTCCTAAGTGTACCACAACAAATAATTCTGCTCCTTGGCTGGGACACATCACCAGGGGATTTCTCAGGGCTTTACAAGAAAGAACAGCACAATGACCTTGAACATATGGAAAGCCTTTAGTATGAAATGTGGCTTTGAAAAAGAGCTAAAAAATAAAAGTCTTATGGATCCCAGACAGGTGACATCAGAGTGAGAGAATCTCACCTGTTACCTGTCTTGTGCCAGGAGCCCAAGTCAATGTGAACTGTGAACTCACAGTCCCTGAGCTGTAGACTCTACTGCTCTGATTTAACTTCTGCCAGCTACACCCCAAGGTTCTTGGGAACCTTCCACATCTCATGTGCAGTTCTCTCCAAGGAAAGAAAAATAATCTCCCTTATCTTTTGCAGGAGTTTACTTGATCCCTCTTAATCCATTTCTAAAGAAACCCAATGTGCAAACCAACAAAAAAATGTTTTCTGCAAAACTTGTATTTACATCTCTCCCGAGCAGTTTGGAAGACAGCCATTGAACACAAGCACCAACAAAGCCTTCTATCCTCAGCAACCCTCCTCCCCTTGGAGAAGGATTTGTTCTTTGCAGAAATGCAGCTCATGCAAACCTTGAGAAAGCTGATCCACAATGAGCAGCTCAGATTAGCAGCAGATCTGAGCAGTGAAATTAGTAAAAGACAGAGCTACATTTCAAGGCAGCCCCATCATCTTTGTTACAAAATGATCAAAGACACAAACTTATTCAACAAATTTCCATCATAAATCTGAAAATGTTTTCTCCACTTATGTCTAAGAAATGTAAAGTGAAAATAGATGTGTGAAAAGTTGCACTAAAAGCTGAGCAAATGGAAATCCAGTTACATATATAAATTAATGAAATCCCCAGAGAAAGGGAAACAGAAAAAAAAAAAAAATCAATGAAAGAAAAAGGATGTAGAAGGAGCTTTGGATCTACAGCTTTTCCAACAAAAGGTTTTGAGAAACACCTTTTTCCATTGAAATGCATTGCTGCAAGGCATGGCAGATGAAAGCCTCAGGAAGATGAGTCATTTTTGAGGTGGTTAAGAGTCAAATACATGTTTCAACCTCAGTCAAAAACCCAATTAAATGCCTGAAATTGTTTCTACCCCTCTCTTCTTTGCAATGACTTTAAATTTGGAGTTAATAAATGGCATTTTAGTTTGCTCTTTTGTATATGAAACATTGCACACCAGTCCTGCGAATTAACTGTTTGCACATTCTCAAATTGTTGTAGATAGAGGACATTTACAGTGTTTTAGTCCAGTTCCCTGCTTAAAAACAGCTACAGAGCAAAATTCTCTAAGCATAACTTACGACAGTCTCTTTCATCTTCTTCATCACCACAGTCATCCTGACCATTGCATCTCAGGTTTATTGGGATACACTTCTGGTTCTTTGTGCACTTGAACTGCCCTGACAGACACACGTGTGTGTCTGTAAATGAGAAGAAAATAGAAATAACAAGTAAAAATGATGAAAAGTTGAAAAGATTAAAACTTCAAAGGCATATGGAAAAAAATGCTCTTTGTTGACTGAGTGTGAAAAGTGGCATTTAAACCAGTTTGGCCTGTTTCTGAAGCCTGCAGTGTAGCCAAGCACCTACCACAGTTAAGTTCATCAGAATTGTCCCCACAGTCGTTCTCTCCATCACAGATAAAGGCTGGAAGAGCACAAAGTCCAGTGCCACACTGGAAACGTCCTGGCTGACATCTGAATTCAGCTGGGAAAAGACAAAACTGCTTATGAATTCTACCAGAAGAATGGTTAACGTCTCACTATTGCTGTTCTTACCCCATGGACTAATCAAAAATACCTATAAACTTGTATGTCCTTCATAATCTCAATCTGAGTATATATGAGTAATTAAGAGGTATGATTGCAAGACTAATTTCAAAGTCTGATATTTTTAATTTGTGCAGCTCCAGTTACAGTGCTAATGACACAGAGGGAAAACCCCCTGCAGGTTGAAGCTTACCAAAGACTCAACAGGGACCTGCAATTTAGGATCTAAACCCTTGAGTTAAAGTCTGATTTTAAGGAAGCCCCTATCCCACTGTAATTCTATTTCCCAAGAAAGGCCTAACACTGCTCCTTCTCCAGCCACTGTCATCAGAAATAATGAGCAACTAGGTACCTCTATAGTAATATTATATGTAAACATAGAGTAGCTTAAAATAAGAACTTATGCAGAATGACTGCATATGTTAAAATTTGCTTCAGAGGCCTCTGCAGCAGGAAAAGAGAACTAACTATGAAATTGTAGAAATAGGGCTGAGGGATTTCATTACAAAAAAAATCAAATTAACTGTTAATTAACTAGAAGACTGTAGAACACACAGAATTTTTTTTTCAAATAAGCTTAAGGGAGGAAAGCAAAGATCACAGGGAGAACATTGCTGCTGCTCAGAAAACTGCAGTAAGCAATAATGTGCATCTAAACTTCTATATTGCAACAAAACACCAGCAAATGAGATTAAAATCCCACTTTTATATTACACAGGAAAAAAAACCCCAAACAAATAAACCTGTCAGAATTTTGTATTTATGCAAAGAATTCCACAACCTCAGAGCACAGCTTCAAAACTAAAACCTTTCGCAAAAACATAACCGGGATGAAGGAAACGTTTGAAAGATGAAAAACACGTATGATTTTTTTCAAAGACCTTCAAAGACTCAGAGGCAAAGAGTGTCCAAGAAATCCTTTTCCTAGACAAATCTATCTTTTCCTATAGAGTGTTCTGTTTGACTTGGACCCTGCTGGCACAGCTGGGCCCCGCAGCCAGCGCGCACTTACGGCACTCAGCGGGCTCGTCGGAGCCGTCCCCGCAGTCGTCCACGGTGTCACACTTCCACCAGAATGGGATGCACTTGTCGGTTTTGCAACGGAACTGCAAAGAGGAAAGGCCAGCAGGAATAAAAGCTTTCATATTAACATTTATTTATTTATTTCTAGGCAATAATAATAATAATAATAATAAATTATAATAATAACGGCGCAGTTTATGAAAATTGGCTTCGCTGCTTGAGGCATTGTTGCATTGATAACTTCTGGCTGTTAATTTTACAAAACTTGTATTTTAAATATCATGTTTCCTTTATTTGGAGGTGTTTGGCACTGAGGCTGCCAAAGTGATAAAAATCACTGTAGTTTCAATGACTGTGTTATGCTGGCTTACAATGCCCCATCACAAACTGCTCATTGCATTTTGCTGCATTCTGTGATTTCATTCTTCAAGGTCTTATTCAAAGCAAACACTTCAATTCTCAGTTTTTGTGGACTGCTGAAGCAGACAACATCATTTTTCCAAATAAACCCAAACACCCACAGTTACAAAAGTGAGCCTTAATGTGTGGTGTTGTGTACAGTATTGCTCACATTGTTTGAATTAAATGAACAAACCAAATGTAAAGCCTTCCAGACTTTCAAAAGGATAAAACACCTGTAGAAAAAAATGAAAAATCCTTTGTAAGAAGGCTGTGCATTTACTCTCTACTCAAGTGACTGTACCTTTGTTCTGACTGAAAGAGGAATGCAAACAAAACAAATGGTACAAATAGATGTAATTTTCTAGGGCTAAACCTAAAAACTGTGTACATCATGTGAGGAAGAAAAGTCTGGGTAGATTATCAGTCAGCTTTTAAGAAATGTTGGTTTTCCTACCTGGTATCTCTATGAACACAGAAAAGAAGGAAACCAAAAGGTTTAGAAGGGCGAGACATTCCATTTTCTGTCACTGGGCAGCTTTTCTTACACATTTAAAAAATCACTGATTGTTCAGTAAAGCTGCATTTAAATAGTATATTAAATTTGGTGCCTTAGCTCAGTTTATCTTTTCTGCCAAAAGAAATTAGGGTTTCAAAGGCATTTATAGAACCTATAGTTGGATCTACACCATTCCTGTACCACCCTGAGGGACTTGCTGTGTAACAGGCTGGGTCCTGCCCCACACAGATCTGCAGCTCAGAGGGGCTCAGCAGGAGGCTGCCAAAGGCAGGAGACAAACTCAGACAATTGTCATTCTTTGTCTTTTCTACGTGCTCTGCTCACCACAAGGGATTTCAGGCTGTCAAAATGGCATCAGAAAGTTATTTCCAGGAAATAGGTACTAACTCTTAGACGATGTTGTAAAAACACTGGCATTTCCTCCTAAACTGAGGAGACAAAACCCTACAAAATCAGGGATCAGGGTCATATGGGTCTTAAATAGATGGAGTTTTGGTGTTTAAGAGTCTAATGGGATTTTTCTAAACAATTAAACAATTTCTAAACAAACTAAACAATTTCTCCTGCCAGATGAGCAGACACAGCATGGTCTGGAGAATCAAGGTCTATTTATGGACCATCCAACTCCTTTCCATCAGAAAAAAAAAGAAGTAAGAAGTAGTCTACGGTGGCTGTGCTGCTGAACACGACGACATTGCAGGAGCAGCTCTGATTTGACAGCATCATCTGAAAATCTTAAGGACAAACAAACTTTTGCCGCTAATCTCATCTGACGCCATCAGACTGATGAGTTATCAAACAGGAAAGTTAGCAAACCTGGGAAAAAATGATGAATAACCAATGTCAACCTCTAATTTCCTGTCTGAAGTTGCCTCTTTTACATAATTCTGCTCTCCACAGTGGAATTCACAAGTGATAAAATATTGCTCCTAAAGTACCCAAGATGTGATAATATTTCTTGAATTCATACTACCACTGAATTAATTCAACTGGAATGGAGCCATTCAGTCAACTGTTAGTATATAAATTCACTGTGAAATAAGCTTCTAGTATCACTTAAAGAAATTTTTTTCTAAAGTGTTCTTTTTTTTTTTTTTTAAGCCAAATTTGAGGAACTAACTACAGGGGAAATTGGTAAGAAATTCTCCATTTTAAGTGATTTACGTCTTAAGTAAACAAAGAAAGGAAGTGGGCAGGTCTCTCAAATAAGATTATTATTTGAGTGAAATTGTACTCTTTTATTAAGATGGCCACTGCTCCCTAAAAATTAGGAGCAAAACTCTTTTCCTTAATGCTGGAAAACATTATCATGCATCATGACACAGAACATTGTAAGAGGTCATTAGGACACCTCTAATAAAAGGGAACTACTAGAAAATCAGACTACTAGAAGTATTTTAAAGTCCATATGTACTATAACAATCAACAAATTAATTGTCTGGTTAGAACAGTCCAAAGGCTTTTATCAAAGTGTTTCTCCTTTAAGAAATCAGTATGTACTTAACTACCTTCTATTTTAAGAAAAAAACCAATAAATGCTTATTTTAAGTAATAGGGAATACAGTTTAGTGTTTTAATTGATGATTTTTTTTTTTTTTTCCATTTTACTTATGAGACTGTTTTTAACACAAGTCTATCACTTTCCAATTTTTCTAACTGGACCAAGCTTGTTTTCATTTTTTAATGCAAAATTCATTCATGCATCCCAAATCACTGTTATACACACTTTGTATTTTGGTATTTCAGACAAATGTTTTTTCAAGGCAATTTTCACGGGTTTAGCAGCTGCATTTGTCCTGGTGAGTGGCAGGAACATTTGAAAGCAAACAAGTCCTGCGTTCTCTGGAGAAAAAAACCATTTGCAAGTCAGTTTCCCACTGAGAGCCTTGGATACGGAACGCCCTGAGCGCGAGGCTGAGTGTCCAGCTCTTTCAAAGCTGCCACATTCCCTGGGAGCCAGCATTCCCTGTTTAAAGGCAGGAGAAGAGCAGCCCCACACAATTCCCCAGTGTGTTCCCGTACCTGGCTGGCGGTGCAGTTGGACAGGCACGTCCTGTTGTCCGCGGCCAGGTAGAAGTTGGTGGGGCAGGCACAGGAGTGCAGCTTGTCAGGGGCCAGCAGGCACAGGTGGCTGCAGCCCCCGTTGTTCAGCGTGCACACATGTCTGGACACTGTGGACAGAACAGGGGAGGCACATCAGAGCCTCTTATCTCAGCACACTTTGGGGTATCTGCTTTATGGAGGAAGAAAATTGTGTTCTGTCTACTGTCTTTACAATGCAAAGTTTAAATCAAAAACCCATGGAGGCAAGCTCTTCCTTTTGCCTTTAAGCTAATCTTTGTTGTATGCAAAAATTAATTATTACCATAGCTGTAAGTTCAATTCTGAGAGAGTGAGAGGAAGAAAAAAAGCTCATTTTCTTCTTTAATAATGAGAGAAAAAATTAGCTTATCTAGGTCAATTGCCAAATAGAATTCAGTTACAATTCAAACACACAGATACCAGCAGATAAGACACAATTCACTCACATTCTCTGGTATTCCCTGAGTCCAGCAGTACTCTTCTGTGATATTAACACTTTTCAAAGAACAGGGTTAAAAGTTTTCATAACACACTGTTCCCCTCTTAAAAAGTGGTAACTTGTACCATAATACAACTGAACAGTTCTGTACTTTCAGTCAGTATTTGGGTTAAATTTTAAGCACATAAATTATCTCTCTACTGACCAAGTTTTATTAGATGTATTTAATACCGGATGCTCCTAAAACATCAATCAGGGATTTATCAAAAACGATAATTTGAAAACTTCCACAATTTGAAACAGAACAGAAACACTCATTGTGGGTAAAGGAGAATGCAGTACCTCATCACACAGCAGCTCAGTTAAATACATCAATGTGCACCAGAATAATTACCATCGGGCTGCCTGTAGGGATGATACACCTGGATGTCTGTGATGGTGTGCCACGAGTTAATCAGGGACAGCCTGTCCGAGCCAGAGGTTTTGTGGGCACGGCTGAGGGATTTGGTTTTCCCGTCTGTCCAGTAGATGTAGTCTTCAAACAAGGTCAGTGCGATCACCCCTGGGATGTCTTGGTTAGGGACTGGAAGGAAAGATGCTCAGGTTAATGTTCTCCCTGGGGAAACTGCCAGTTAAGATATCCCCACTGCACAAGCTGACAGAACAACCGCTCCAAAATGTCCTGAGGATAATTCTGGTGACAACTCACCAGCACCAGAGGGTCCTTTATTGCCAGTTACAATGAAGGTGGGTGGAGGACAAGCCCTGCTTGCTCAGAATTTGTTGGCCCAGTCAGGGTTAAGGAAATGAAAGAATTTCAGTTAAAAAGCAACCTCCAGATTTTAAACTAAAGACAGGCCAAACTTTCAAGTTATAAAGTAACAAACATAACTTTCCCTACTCTTTGCATAAGCAATATAAGTTGTCTCTTTTACTAGAATAAAACTTACTAGAAAACATCCAGAACATAACATATACGTTTTCTGATGCTATGTGTTTAATACCCTTTCATACAATTAACATAATTTTATTTAATAAAAATATACTAACAAGAGAGACAGGAAAAATAACAAAAAAATGGCATTAAAATAACCATTGCAGTAAGAGGGATTATTGATAATTTTTGGCATCACCAACCAACCACATGATAAAAAAAAATACAAAAGGATGATGATATTACATAGCTACAGAATCACAAAATTATGAGCCAACATCATTTGGAAAAGGAAGGAAGGACAAAAGGGAGAAAAATCTTTGGAACATTTTTTACCTGCTGTACACTCCTTAATCCTGAGGTATTTGTTCTTGGTAAACAGTAACTGAATGCCACTTTTTTTTTCCCTCCATTTAACATCAATAATAGTAATCATAAAAGTAACAGGAGACTATCTGACCACAATAATTAATCTGTAAATTATAATCTCTTATTGCTGAATCACTCTAATTACTGATAGAGGTGAAAAGGCAGAGCAGAGCAGCTGACTGTCACATTTAACCACACATCCTCAACACTTTTACCTTTACCTCGTCTTCTGCACCTTTTTACTTGGAAAGTGGACATGGAGTAAGCATATCTCAAATTCCTGTTGGAAAATCTCATAGCTCACTAAGATCTGATGACTGATCCTGAGTATATGGAACCACAAGTTAGAAAATTCAATTTTCTATCCATTAGTGCTCCCAGCACTGAGCTCCAGTGCAGGGCATGTTGCCCTCTGGTCGAGGAGACCTTGCTGCTTAGGCCTGAAATTATTTTCCCTTCTTATATATCTCCATGAACCACATCTATCACACCAAAATAACAATGTGATATTTCTGAAAAAGCTTCAGAGCATTTCTGAGAAATCAGTCAAAGTCCAAAGAAATCTCAATTTTGGCACTCATCACAGAGGCAACTTTGCCACAGTTCTGTACACGGTACAGTGCAAGGAAAGCTCTTGTAATTTCTCTGATTTGTAGAGTCCCATTGTGTAGGGTTTCCAATGAGAAGAGCAAACCAGGCTGACAGGATAAGCAGGATCAGACATCAGAAACTGCTGCCCTGAAAGATGCCCCTGAAGTTTTCCATAAATCTAATTCTTCTATTTTTGCTTCAGTTCTGAGATGATATTGGTTCATATAAATTATGACCCTTGCTTCTACTTTTGACATCAAATTAAAGATGTCAAAGGTCCCACTCCAGTCTCTCTAAAGACAAAAAATGTCCTATTTTATCTGTCTGCTTTCTCTTTTACTGATCAAAATTAAGATTAAAATTAGAATAAAAAGACATATAAAACCTTAATGTACATGAAGAGATTTACATAGAAGAAATTATTTTGATTTCATCTTCTTTATTATTCCTTGCAAATGAAAAATACACCTAATAGTCATCTTCATTTTGGATATCCAGGAAGTAAACTCCATATCCTAAGCACAGATATAGGAATAAATGCTTATTCTTTGGTTTTGTGGATGTTTGTGGATGGCCAGACAATTTATCCTGCCTTCATTGGATTAGACATACATCAAAATCAAAAACTTTATATTCATGAGCTACAGAAGATTCAGGAGATTGCCATGCACTGTCTGAATTGTCTCATCACACTGCATTAATGGGGAAGCCAAGTTAAATGTGTGGCACAAAATATTAAACATTACAGTTAGAACACTGCACATAAGAAAACTGCTCATTGACTCAACTATAATTTTCTTTTATTTAAAAAAAAAAAAATTCTGCAAGCACTGGGTTTAGAAGCTTAACTCTTTGAAACTTCTTAAAAATAAACCCACCTTATCAGGAACAATGCAACAAATATTGGACTCTCTTCTTTTTATATTCTTTAAAAGAAGAATGACAAAGAATATTTGTTCCTACAAACTGGGTTTCCTATTATTACCATTTATAAGCATAAAGATGAAACTGTCAATGGCTTAACATTCACAGATTTGGGTTGCAGTTTGTCCTGTCACTATTTTTATTTCCGAGCAACTCTGTAATTTTAATGGGCTTCTGCATTATTTTTTCATTAGGTCATGATCAACTCAAACTTGCACCAGTTAAAGCTGTAAAAGCTACATGTATTGTGTTGTGAAATGTAGAGAAAGTTATTAAAAAATCAATTAAGAAAGCAATGAATAGTATAAATATATGCTTGAAGTAAACCAGAAAATAAGTACAGAATCACTGGACAAATATTTCTTACAAAAATTATACACTGACCATAAAAATATAAAATTCTTATAAAAGAAGAATTAATAATAATTACATAGCAAAAAAACTTATAAAATTTCTTCTAAGCTGACCATAAACCTCAATGTATTTTCTTGTAGAAGATAAACCCGTAAAGCCTGAGAGAGTTTTCTGAAAACAGGCATTGAATGGCAACCAACTCTGACTTACTTTACTGTTTAAGGAATAGTTCTATCATAGCTGAATACAATTTTTCGTTGCCTTTCAGAATGTTATAAGCAAGGAAACATCAGAACTGCTGACATGTAAGAGGTTATAGAATTTACAGTTCCCATCAACTGTGAATAGCCAAACAAAAATGAACAGAAAACTGAGGTCATTTTTACACCTGATTATCTGATGGAGCAGTAAAATAGTTTCTCATCCTTTTTATTCTTTGCTTTGAGGACATCAGTGTTTCACACCTTCCAGAATTTCAGGCAGTGAATATTGATTTTTTTATAAAGGTATAGAGTAGTAGAAACAGCCACTTCCTTTTTGTTTTGAACTCCAAAAAAGCTTTAGTTGATTGATCTCGTTATAAATGACATAGAGTAGTTAAATGTTGCAATGCTAATTATTAACCCTACAGCAAACTCTGTGGTGTGAATCACAGTTTTAAACAGGAAAGGAAGACTCATTGCTCCTCTTTCTTTGGCAAGCACTGTAAAACCAGATTATTTGGTGCAAATTTGAAGTAAAGGCAGGTTACTCATAGCAAAGCACCTCTGCTTCCTCTGCATCAGCTATTTGATATTTTATCACATTGCAAACCCGTTAGTAAGAAAGGAATATATTCTGTTAAAGCTAAAAAATTTACTTTTGTGATTCCTTTTCCCACCACAGCCTCCTCCTCCCAGAGCTGGGCAAGTTCCTTGCAATTCCACCTCTTCTAACACACCTGCTGCCAACCCTGATTCTCCGGTGGTGTTTCATTATATCCACAAATCATGGATTTTCTCACACTGAATGCTAATCCCAACAGTGCTTGAGCAAACAAGTAGGTGAGAAAAGGGGCAAGAAAGAGGAGGCAGAAAAGAGAAGGAATGCACAGGCCTTTCAGAGAGCTGCAGAAAATAGGAAGAAAAAAACACAGGAAGGTGATAAAAGGGAAAAACAAGGAGGCTTGCAACAGATCAGAAGTGGTGGGAAATAAAAATTATTAGATACTTGAAGACAAATAAAAATGGCAATATATAACATAATAAAGGAAGATAAAGTGCTGCATGAACTTAAGAGAAGAGCCACAGGAGGGAACATGATTATGTAGACACATGAGAAATGTGACAGACTTAAAATATATCTGTCTCTCTCTCTCTCCTGCATTTTGTATGAATTTCGACCCAAGAATATAAATTTATAAGCTATAAATCATATTTGTGATACAAATGTTTACTTTTCTCTAAAAAGTGAACTCTGCTTCCCTTATATTTTCTGAGCACATTTACTTAAGCATAAAAAAAAATGTTCATTTGATTTCAGGAATGAAAAACATTCCATCTAGGATTCCTGACCTACAAAACCTGCTTATGGAGCAGTCATACAGAAGTGAAGCCCAGCTCCCTTGGCTCTTATTGAAACACAAATTTTTCCAAAAGTAAAAGCAAATACAATAGCACAAATAATCATAGAAAAGGTCTCACCTGTGGGTAAGATAAAATCAATGTACCAAGAAACAGTGTCCTTTAAAGGACAAATACTGACCCCTTCTAAGAGAAAAAAAACAAAAACAAATCCAAACAAAATTATCAGTGCCCTATCATATCCAGAAGATGGTTGATCACGTCCAAGACAGAAAGAGATGTGTCCCTTCCCTTTCCAAAAACAAGGGATTTCAACCTTCCCCTACCTTTGTGCAAAATCTACAAAAATAGAAGGAGTGAAAGATTCCTGATGGGCTCTTCCTAAAAATTCATTCAGCAAGAGTGCCAGTGCTGGGAAGCATTTGCTAAAGGTAATTAACTGTTGTTACTTGCTAGCTCCCCATGGCATTAGAGCAGTTTCTGTTTAAGAATTTTGGCACCAAAACACAGAAAATTTACATGGGTGACCAAACCCAGAAAAAAACAGGCTACACTATTTTGAATTCCATTCTTTGGAACTTGATTTTCTGAACTGCAATAAAACAGAAATAAAAAGCCTACTGACATCTTGATCTAAACGGAACCAGTGGTAATCTCCTAGGAAGGATTACAAACCCTCCAAAGACAAATTGCATCAAGGAAGAACAACACTTAATAAGAAAATAGCAATTAAACCAAATAAACTTGGAAATTGCTGATCTTCTCTTCTGCAGCAATTACTGACTCCCACTGTCCTCTTTCCAAGTGAACTCCCTTGTAGCTGTTTCTGTCTCATTTTACATTCAGCTT